GGGGATGGGAGGGGCGTTAACTTTTGTAGTTTCCATCAAATAAGCCAATCTCCACAACCCGCGCTCAACCGAATGTCAGGCGGTTCATACTCCCGTGCGATCTGCATGAAAGTATTTCACCTTTGACATTATGGTGACATTCACATTGGAATTCGTTAGCCCGTTGAAAAAAAACGGTAAGCCTTTCACTCATTATTTAAACTTTTTTAAATATAAATATGAATTATTTACATAATTGGCACTCCTGCTTAGCTATGCCAATTAATGAAATACTACTACATTTCTGGGATAGGATTAATGGGAAAGCTTGCTTACTTGCCAACATTTCGTAGGCCAATTATTGCCCTTCCAAGCAACTAAGAGAATTACCATGACGAAGTGAGAAAAAAGAAGAAAATAGAGCCGTGTATTTATGTCAGAAGAGAATGAAGAAGAATAAGAACAAATAGCAAAAGGAGCGTGTTATGTTGAATTTGGAAGGGGTGCGTGATAGACTTACCTCCACGTGGTGCACCCTGGGCAACGTATACTCATACGGCAAATAAGTCTATTAACTGGCAATTGACTTCTGGGGCAGTACTCATCCTACCTTTTCTCTGCCTTCATGTCTGTCTCTTTACATCTGTAAATCACTCTTCTGTTCCCCACCCCTCGACTTTCTGTTACTTTGATGTTCCTTCCCCCTGTGAAGCCCGAAGTCAGCTAAAGGGCTACTGATAACTATCAAAACGCCTCCCATTTGAAATAAATAAATAAATAAATGTTGAATTTGGATAATGATAACAAAACAAATTGCTCTGCGACTTAAATGATTGAAAAGGGGGTCGGAGGTAGAGAGAAAAAAAGGGAAGTACTTTTAAGAGGGAATAAACTGCCATAGATCAATGAATACGAAGGATTGGTTGACATCGGACATTCTGCAAGAACATCATAAGCAACTAACGTTGATAGATGTCGGTATAAATTTAGTGATTTGACATTGATGACGGTCTGTCGACAAAAGTTGTTTATTCTAGGGCGTTATTAGCCCTTTTAACGCCCGGATTATTATTTTTTGGAAAAATGCACCAAATCGCAATCACGCATCTTACAGCAGACTGTTGCCGACGTGATTACTTTTGGTGGTATCAGGCGAGGACCATAGACGCGTATTGAATATGTTTCAAATAGTAATAGCGTCTTCTGTTACGAGTCTAGTACCAATGGCGGTTATTTTGACAGAGGACCGTACGGTCCTAAGGGCGTTAAAGGGGTTAATCATCATTGTATTAAAATTGTGAAGAATTAAGATAATTGGATAAATGTAACGGTTTTAAAGTGATTTTATTCAAGGTTTAATTTGCACTTCATGTTATTAAAATTGACTAAATATTGAACTATTCTTGACAATGCCACTCAGATCTTCTATATGCAATCTTTGGGGTCCTTCCAATGTTGCATTTATTATTGCAGGACTTTATTCCGAAGAGGGTGTCATATTGTAAAACAAATGAAAGTGAAATATCCCTCCCCAGTGTAAAATTGAGTCATCGTCATTCAATTAAATTGAATCTGCCTGTTATTCAGGTTTGAGCGTGATTTGTATTCGAATGATTAATTCGGCTTTTGCCAGGTCGACAAAAGCCTAGGAAAGACAAAGGAAGTTATTCTATGCCATAGCTTTCATCGACCACCTGTTAAATCTCGCCATGGAAAAGTGTATGACTGTGCCGACGTCACTATAGCCACTAGACTAGAAAAGGAGCATTTTTTGCCACTGTCCTTGCTTTGAATTTGCCAATCTACTCAAATTTTCGCATTCTATTTTTTCTCATTCTCATTTGCTACTTTATATTATTACATTATATTATTTTAAATCGCAATTTCTTTTGCCTCCATTGGTCTATTAGTTTGCTATTGGCGGTTTATTTTATAGTTTAGAAACATACAAACTACTCTTCAGGCAATAAAGGCAGTATGTTCAAAATTCATGATAAGAATTCATTAATAATAACAATACTAGATGGCAAATGGGAGAACAAGGAAACATTGAGGGGCATAAGCAGGATAAGTTAGTTTAAGAAAGAAGATTAATATGTAAACATCACTAGATATAATAAATGGAGATTTGAATAAGGAGACTTTGTGTGCACGTTAATAGGTAGCTCTAAAATGGAAGCGTAACATCTGTTGGTTTAGGGGGATCGGAGTTGGGAGGGGGGAGGGGGGGGGAAGAGGAGTCTGGGAAATAAGCCATAGTGTATATATAGTTCAAGACAGGATATGTACGAGGAATTGCATGACCGTTCACTTTTTTCAAATCAGGCTATGTAAAATTGTATATATGGGATAAGTGAGATTGCGACATAATACGTAACTTCTGATGGTACTCTCAACGTTCACCGGAAAGAATATGTGCCCTTTAATGGGTTCTATGCATGCATACGATTGGACTATCGCCTTTGTTCACTTTCTGAGGATCGGCTCAAATATCCACTTCGTGAATAATCTGAGGGGGGTTCGATTCTTTGACCAGATGTACTTTGACCTCGAGACCACACAGATGGGGATTGTTCTCTCATGTATTGTCCACGGCTTATATCGGTGTAGCTGTGTGTCTCTTCAAACTCATGTCGAACTGTACTTATTGATTCTTCAGTGGCATATGTTGTTGTAGGATAACTATAGAATTGCCCATCTCCCTCTTCCAAAGTTCGGAAACTAGAGACCTCTTCTAATTGTGGAATTCGTTCTTCCATTGTAACTTGACGAGATGGAAGGGTGTAGGCTTCGGTATGCTCGAATTCTCCGACTTCCGTCAGATAAGGTGGAGTTCGTGAATCTTCAGTTCCATATTCAGGTGAGTGGGAATCACTTCCAAGTCGACGTGGTCCCATTAATCCAGAAGTGTAGGATGTGTATTGGCCTCTTTCTGATTGAATGTATCTTGTTCTTTGGTAGCTAGTCGTTCGGTAAGGCTCAGGTCGATCATTATCAGGTTTTGTACTTGAAACCAGACTTACAGCCGTTGACAAAAGGCGCCTATTGCCACTTGAACCACTGGGTTGACTGAGTGGAATCCATTTGTTGATATTCATTTCAGGAATGAGTCGTATCCAGCCTGCTTGTCTAGCTGTAAGGAAGTTACACCATAGAGAGACACCTTCTTCAACAGATAGTGTTCTTCCATCCTCGAACAATTGATACGATGGACGAGCCGGCCAGTCAACAGCAATTTTTCCAGTCTGCCTATCGAACAGACCCAATCGAACTGCATCATCTGGTCTGAGCCATTCCGAAGGTTCACCACCAGGTCTAACAGCTGTTACGTGGTATGCGCGTACAACACTCTGTAATTGACGTCGCCTTACTTCTTCCTCAGTCCCTGTGTCACGGGCTCTATCTACTCGGAGAATGTTCTGTGATATTGCCTCCTCAGCTGTCAGCCACACGTTATCAATCTTATTCAGTACCCAGGTAGCGTGATTAGTGTCTTCACTAATAAGACCATCTAACCGTGCTTGACGAATGGGGATATACTCTCGAGTCTCTGTGTTCAGCACAAATATGGCTTCAACTGTTTCCTGGGCGATGTATTCACGTTCAATATACATAAGAGAAGATGGTGTTGTTGTAGTAGTGGAAGCGCCAGCGGCCAATCGAATTCTACCCTGAGCGAGAGCTGTTTCTAATGGGATAGCATGGCCGGTAGTTGGATCGATGTATTCATTTCTACCACCAAGTTGGATCCACCCTTGTCGAACAGCAAAACTTACTGGAGCAAATAGACCTGTGATAGGACTAGCAACTTCTCGAATATTATCCCAATCTCTTGCATCAATCTGAGTTGTCATCTCGCAGAGCTCATATTCTACCACTCTTTGACGGACTGTAATTGGCAGTCTTTCAGTTCTGAAGGAGAGGAATAATCGACTTTAAGTGCTATTCAATGTAAGTAAAGTTGAACAGAAAAAAATAGAAGAATAACTTACATAGGTTCTCCGAGAGGAGAGAAAATTTCTACTTCGCGTACTCTCTGATAGTATTCCTCCTCGAGAGCATCTTCATCGAAGAAGTACGTGGTTATATCTAAATCATGGAGGCAGTCATGGCGTTCTCTTCCAATGTCCGGTTGTGGTCGAGGATATCGTTTTAGCATTTCTGACAGGTAATCATATGAGAGGGGCTCAGTTTGTGAACCTTCGGTAACAGTTGAGATGTATACTTGCGTCTTCATATACTCCGGTTCATCCAACACATGTACCACATCGGTAGTTTCTGATAGGGCTGTCTTAATATCAGTTTTCTGTTGGAGGTGCGTTGTCGTAAATGCCAATGCAGCGTCTGTTTGCTCACACTGATCTATTGAGATAACTTTTGGAGATGCCTGGGGTTGTTGGTAAGCAAACGTTTCAACAGTTTGGGTTATTTGGATTGGACTTTGTACATACTGCTCTGGTTCCATTCTAACTTGGATTTCAAAGTCTGTTCCTGCAGGAATAGCGTAGGTTTCCGATTCTGAAATCACCCCACGTCTAAGTCGACTTAAGTAGGATTCTACAACAACTTCTTCCGTCTTAGTGGTAAATCTTTCTTCGAACGGTTCTTGAAGAATTATTTCATATGGGAATTGCAAACCGACTTCTGCTGAAGTCACTCCCTCCTCTATCTCTGTTTGTCCAGCGTACTCCTTCAAATAACGTCTACTCAAAACCTCCTCATAGATAGATCGATTGAGCATTGTGTAACCGACATTACCAAAGTATTCCTCCAACTCTTCTGTTACGCAGCGATCCCATACAGATTGTCTGACTGCTCTGAACAATTCGTAAAACTCTTGACTGCATTCCTTGGTGTTGAAACCAGTGCTAGGCGCGAATCCAGCCCATTCCGCTAAGGGCACTTTTTTAGTCATTGTCTCTGTGACTTGGGTATCCGTAAATTTGTAAGTAGTTTCATCAATCTGAATCGTTTCATACTCAAATTCTTTTGATCCCTTTGTTTCTGTACTTAATTCAGGTGCTGCTTCCATTAGTGAACATTGGATGTTAGAGTTCTTCTTTATGATAGGAATTGTTTCAACTGGCAAACACTTAAGTCTAACTTGAGTAGGAATTTCCACTTCCCAAATATATTCTTCCTCTGTCTGTAGGTTAATAGACTTCCGTTTAGTGACTTCTGTCATGGTTAAGGAATCCGAAACTGGTGTTTCCTGTGTTTGCATTACATTGTCCATCAGGCTTGGAAGAACTGGTGCTGGTGGTACTGCATAAGTGTAGTCAACTTTCATGGGTGCGATCTCCTCAGTTGTCATAGTTGAAGTGTGGATGAGCTCTGGACCTTTAGGAGCTGGTGCCTCAGTTTCTTCTGTTCCAACACTAACAGTTTGTCTTGGAATCTCTTTTCCTGTCGCTGAAGATACAGCAGTAATTGTTCCTTCAGCCTCTGCTACTATACCAGCGTCTGTTTGGACCATGGTATAACCACTCGACACTGTCTCCAAGTAGGTATCTGTTATGGTCGCAGTCGTCGTCATTATGAGCTTCGGAGTTTCAGGGGCATGGGAGGTAGTTGCAGTCATCTCGGATATCACGGCTTGCACCTCCGTTGACATTGTTGTAGTATCTGTGTGCACTGATACAGATTTCAAATTCACCTTGTCTGTATCAATGGATTTTTCGACATAAGATCTGAATTCAGTCTGCGACTTTCCAAATTTGACTAGTGTTAGGCTCGGAATTGGAGGTGCCACGTGAACAACTGACACAGATTCCTCCTTTATGAGTTGTATTTCTTCCTCAGTTTCTGTTCCAGTACTGAAAAGAGGAGCTGATCTTTCAGTCTCAATCGACACTGAATGCATTATAATTTTTGGTTTTTCAGATTCGGTTACAGATGAAAGTGTGCTACTGATTTGGGCAACTGGTGTAGCTAAACATACATCGTTATGTTCTTGACTTAGTCCGGTAGTTATCGTAAGAGATTCAGGTGCTGGAGGAACCGAATGCACAACAACAGGCTGTGCTGGTTCAATTCTAACCTCAGTCATTGTCGCAGTTGTGGTTGCTTCCACTAATGGGGTTTCTGTTGAGGAGGTGACATTTACAATTCGCTTTTCTTCAACATGAGATGACGTTTTCGTAATCAGCTGTTCTATCTCAACTTGTGTCACTGCATCTTCATGTTGCGTGGCTGGAACTCCAGAAACACCCGATACGGCATCACGGATTTCAGCTCCGATGAACACTTGTCCTGCGAAGTCACTTACTTTGGGTTTCGCTACAGTCACAATTTGAGGTTGGGTAGATGTGAATTCGCGAGAAGTCATTGTTGCAGTACTGTTATACTGTTGGATTTGTGTCTGCATTTTTCCGAATCGCATCGCTACAGGTGGTGCCGCCATAACTACTGGTTCAGCCACTACTTCTTTAATAATTTGTTCAGGTTCTGCCTGAAGCGCTGAGGACACCACTGAGTGAATTTCAAGAGTCGGCTCTGTGGTACTAACATCCGTAGTTGATGGAGTTTCAGTTAGCAACGATCTGTCCTTAAGTTCTACAACCCACTCAGTCGTAACTGAGGACTGTTTCGCAACTTCGATTGGAGCCACACTTTCTTCAATTGGTTGAATTCCTGTCGAAACCATTGCAGGCTTAACTGCTTGCTCCTCAATAATCGTTTGGGCCTCGTGAATGTTCATAGATTTCACTGCCTCTAGTCTACCAGAAAGAGATGTCTTGTATTCTGTGGGTTCTGTGCCTGAAGCAGCTTCAAGATGCTTCTTTCCAAGCGTTTGCACTCCTCTGTATCTTACAGACGTGAGAATTGGTGTCATTGGCAATGGTGGTGGTGCTTCT